TTCCTTATTGTTCTTTTATTTTTGGCAAATTTTATTGTTGTGGTTGTTTCTGTGCATGACAATGGCGCTGTGCTCATAGCATAATAATTAAAGCGGGATGGTGTATATATGTATGAGTGTGGAATAGGAAATTACATACATATGTGGCTTATTGTCGGATGTTAGGAAAAAGTTTGACAGGCAGGCAAGGTGCTGAAGCAACAAATAATGCAGAGTTCTCCAAATAATAAATGAGTAAGGCGAATTACACAAAACTCTGTTCCAAATCTACTTCCTTCCTTACCAAAATAAGCGAAATGAAATGGATGGGTATTCCCCAAGCTATTGTATTTAAAAGTTTTTGAGATGCTGGGAGCATATATTATTATGTTACAAAAGAGAGTTTGGTTGTGTTGGAGCTGATTTTGTTCCCCTTAAATATAAATAAGAACTTTTTCAAAGTCAAAAGTGGATTGTTTTTCCTAAAATTCACGTGACTACAGCACTATTAAAAACATAATTAATTTTTAATTTACTAAACAAACAAACAAAAAATTCTGATTAATATTCCAAAAATTATTAGGTTATTTGGAAAGAAAGAAATATAATGGCTACATTTTTATTTAGGACCTAATATATACACTTTTTTGGTTCCTAAATGAGTTCGGAGCTTTTCAAATCGCCAACCAACGCCGTTATGTTTTAAAGCGTTTAAGTCGGTTGCAGTACCCTGACATTATAAATTACACAATCGATTCCAATGCAGTTCTATCGATATTTTCCTTTCCCCAATAGGTGCTATTTGTATGTCCTTTTAATTAATTTAAATCTAGAAAATTGTTTACAAATCGCTATTTAAAATAAAGGTGTTTCGCAAACAGCTGCTTCTGAAGAAGCAACACTCAGTCATGATTATACTGCTGCAGTCTTAATACATACTATTGGCTATATATGTACATGTATATGGAACAGATGGATAGATAGATTATTCCAATCTTAAAGAATTTTATATTGCTCAATTCTTAAAGACATTAAGGTATAAATTTTCCAACATATTGAGCGCACACCTCTCCACATCACTTGTGTGTTGCCATTGTTGTTGCTTACATTGGGTTGTACAAGTATTTGAATAATCTGGATAATCATTGGTCGTGCCACATTGACTCCCTAGCAGCTTGTTTACAATGCAAATATTAATTTGTTTATCCACACACCTTATCGTATTACTAATACATATGTGCATAGTAAGTAGTTCAAGGCTTGTTGTGTTGCCTACTTTAGGGCGTCATAGCTGTGGCCGAAATGCCAAAAGACAGTGCCACGCCCAAAAAATGGGCATACAAAATGTTGTGAAATAAAATTTCCGTGCGACGTCCTCATCATCGTTGTCGTTGTAGTCGTTGTCGTCATCGTCTAGGGAACAGCTTTTGTAACGAGCCGCTTTATTTATGCAAGGCTGCCGCAGAGCGCGCGGTTTGTGGCTGCTTGACGAGCTCACACATTTGACTGATAAGCATTTAAATATTTAAAACGATTTTCCACCAGGGTGTGTGTGTGTGTGTGTGTGAGAAAGAGTGTGTCTCTGCTACTGTCTCTATTTCTCTGCCTCCCTCTCCTTGCCACGTGTGGTTGTCTGACGCATTATGACGCGAGCGGTTGCTGGCTGCTGCTACTTTCGTAGATGTGGATGCCACAGCCATCGTCATTATCATCCACATTGTTCTGCTCGTTGCTCCCTATATACATATATGTATGTACCGCACGTGGTTGCTTCTTCGCCTGCCATTTGAAAATAAAATAAAAAGTTAATTAGCATTTTAAGCTCACTGCGCCGTAGCTATTTATCTCTTTCGTATTGTTATGAGCACGCTTTGCGGCTAAATAGCGATGACAGTAAGCTCCTCTGGCTCCTTAGGCTGTCATTTTCGGCCATAATGCCGGCGATGATTGCGATGAAAAGAAAAATTAAATAATGTTAAACAAATTGCACAGTACCAGTTCAAAGCTTATCTTATCTTTTCATAATTACTTCGTAATTCTTGTTAATCACATACTTATCAAATCTTAATTAGTTAGTCATAATAATAATTATATTTTTCAATTATATTTTTAAACAAATCGTATAGAAAACGCAAGCCTCGGACTTGGACACACAAATCTATATCCGATAATAGATAACGGGCAATTCTGCCATAGCATATTCTAACTTGGCTCATTCCTCTCCAACCACAGATTCCGATTCCCTGTCAACTCAGATGCCATGTCTCTTATCTAAAATCCTACTTTCGAAAAGATAGAATCGTATAGTTCCTAAGAAAAGCGAAGATATACTAGATTAATTCTTCTTATATTATTTAATAATATTAATATAGATGAATAGAATATATTATACATATATTTTTGTATTAGCAGAGTGTTTTTTATTTAAAACTGTCCATCGTGGACAATCATTAAATTTGTTAAATAAACTTTAATTTATTTCAATTATCTACACATATACATTATACATACATCTATATAATTTAATCCTTAAATTCATGCTCTAAAATATTCTAGCATTGCAATTCAAAAATAAATTCAAATGTCTACTCTTCATGGGATGCTCTTTAAGTTATATAATTTAATATATAATTTAATCCTTAGGTTTTATACATATATGACAAACTTTTTATTATTAACAATATAACTAACTTAACGGCTACTGTTTGTCTAGTAATGATCGTCGCCAAATGCCAACACAGACCGTTCAGCTGATCGTCCGTCCGTCTGTATGATCGGAATTCTCTTGGAAATTATAAGAGCTGGACTAACCAAACTTGGTATTCATATTTCCAAGTGTGTGTTTTTCTCCCTGACGTCCCCGCCCCACTTCTGCTCATTTCGTTTTAATATAGAAATATTTAAATTTTCTCTAAGATATCAAGAATTGCATTGCCTGTATATCTTTAGTGATAAACATTTTCGCTTGTTAATATTTTAATGCACACGTATTCACTTTATTAAAGCCACAACATTTAAGACATGTCAATATTCTGCTCAATTGTTGTGTCATGTGCAACCTTTATTCATTTATTTATTTAAGCTCCCAAACATGTGTTTAGGTTGCTAATTGCTGTCGTGTTGCCTTTTGGGCCTCTTTTTGCTTATCACACAGCACTAATTTGAAAATTGGAAGTTCCAGGCATAAATTAGTCTAATATTTGCATATTAAGTAGATTATTTAGTTAGTTGGGTTAGTTGTGTTGTCTTGCCTGCCGTTCGCTCACCTAAAGCTACCCCCTTCTCTCTCTCCACTACGAGTATGTATCTCATCTGTGTTAGCCAGCCTGCTGTCAGCTTATCGTTTTGTTCGGCCCACTGATTGAAACACTTGTCACTCGTCGTCATCTTTGCTAGTTTATGCTGCCCGTGAATGCTGGCGATTCGATAAATGTCTGCACTTTTCTTATTTACCCGTTTAAGCTCTACTTTTCATCTCTCTCTCTCTCTCTCTCTTTCTGTATCTCTTCTCTATACCTCTCCCATGGCTCCCCATGGAGCTGAAGTTGAAATACATAGTTGGAAATTGTTTGATTGCTGCAGCTGCAGGCTCTCCTTGACTGATGAGGCCAATCGGTGGATTGCGACTTGACTGCCCGTCCAGACAGACAGGCAGGCAAGCTCTTTTGCTCTTCTACTTCTTGCTGTTATTGTTGTTATTGTTGTTGTTGATGTCCCCATTGACCATTTGTGCTGTTTGTTAACTGAAAGCTTGAGTAAAAAGCCTCATCAGTTAGCACGTTTCTGTGCCTGGCGACATCTGAGTAATGTATTTCCTAGATGGGCAACTGTTGTCGAGATTGCTGAGAAAATGCAGTTGTCGTTGTGCAGCTTACAATGAAGATATGGCCAAGAATATAAACAATCAGCTTATGCGGTTGATTAAATTGAATGAGAATTGATGCAGAATTGAATCACATCTACACACATACTTGTACATCTATGTATATAATTTAATACTTAAATTCATGCTCTAAAATTGTTTAATATTGCAATTCAAAAATAAATTCAATGGCTACTCTTCATGGGATTCTCTTTAAATTATATAATTTAATATATATAATTTAATCCTTAAATTCATACACTATACTCGTATACTCGTTCAAAAATAAATTACATATACTGTTTTCAAATGTCTACTCTTCCTAGGATTCTCTTTAAATTATATTATTTAATATATATATAATTTAATCCTTAAATTCATACTCTAAAATATTTTGGCATTGCAATTCAAAAATAAATTACATATAATGTTTTTAAATGTCTACCCTTCATGGGTTTCTCTTTAAATTATAATTTTAAATATTGTCTGATGTAATCAAATCTTTTCTCCTTATTCTGTAGTTGTTTATCAATTGCTTTCCAATCAAAGACCAAGCTTTATTTTCTTAAAAAGTCTGTTCACATGCTATATAGTTTTCCATCTAAAAGTTTTGTAGATTTATATTCATTTTCTTCTTTTTTTCTGATTACTTTTATTTCGTTTTTGAATTTTTTAATTATTCTTCTGACACATTGTCATGGGCGGCACAACTCTGTAGCCTTAACGTGGATGGAAGGACGTTCGCTTGGCACAGCCAGCGGATTAGTGTACTTGAATACTTGAAGGCTAAAGCAAGTTAGCAAGATGATGAGCAACATCAAAAGAGGTCTAACGAAGGAAGACGGCAGACCCTTGACGCCGATAAGAGGCGTCATCGCCTTCCCCCTCCTGCCAGCTTTTTGCCTTGAAAGAAATTAGGTCGCGGATTCAGGGTGGCGGATATGAGGAGGTGAGGGCGTCAGGGCTTGTGAACATTCAAATTATTGATGTTTAATAACACAACTGCAGCTTGTGCTGATTCAAGGGGAAAGCTGGGAGATTCTTTGGGTGCTAAATGAAATTTCCTACCCAACACATTTAATTTAAAAATTAAATTAAAAATTTAATAAAAAATGAATGCCTTATACTCATCCTTTTCACTCTCTGGTTTTTATTTTAGATAACCACATCTACTGCCAAAAAGTTATGGGAGAAATCCGATGGCAAGAGCGGCGCCTCAAGCACTCCAGGCGGTCCATTGAATCCATTACAAATACCTGGCGTTGGAGATCACTCTTCGGTATGGAAGGATCACACTTGGTCCACACAAGGCGAGAATATATTGGTGCCGCCACGATCACGTGGTTATCCACATGGTGCCGCCTCCGATACATCCAACAGCGGCAATGCGGGCATATTAAGGTGAGTCTAACATGTCAAAACGTAGCTATAAAAAATTAAAGATGATGTAGAACAAGAAAATATGAAATTAAAAAGCTAATGCTTACTCACTAATCCCAATGAAATGTAAATTATATATGCCAACATTTTAGGGCCATTATGAACATTAATTGAATGCAAATTGTATTAAAATGTGTATGAACATAGTATCTACTCGTAGTTACATAATCGCACCAACTTTTCCTACACAAAACAAATCTTCACCGTTATTGAAACTTTAAAAGCCATTTTTTTTATCATCAAATTAAATATAAATGGTTCTTATTTAATTTCTTTTTATCTAATTCTAAATACAAATATACAACCTACAAGTATATAAGTTATGAACAAATATTTAAAAGATCCACGGGAAAGATGATGTGACAGTTTCCTATCTTTTGTCGCAAGTACTTAGTGACAATACCCAAAGTTTCTGCTTCGATTGTCGTTAAAAAATCGGCAATAAAGTAGCAGATATGTACATTGTTGCTCAGAATAGACAATTTTAAACGGGTATAGGAAAAATTAAAGGTTTTTATTTGCTTTTTTAAAAAAAAAAAAAATGATTAAACCAGAAGAGTGTTTAACGTTTCAGATGAAGACAATGAAAAAAGTGTTAATATTTAAGCAATTAAGCTGCTAATAGGCCTTTTGTGAAGATGCGATTCATCGACCTTTCGTTGATTGTATTGTGCCTAAGTTTTACTAAAAGCCCAATTACTAATGGCTTAATTGCTATTCGCTATTTAAAGTCATATTTTTGATCAAAAGATTATATCCATGTAGAATTAGGACACACAGGAACTTTAATTTTTGATGATGACTATAATTTTCTCTGTAGCTTTACCTATTATAAACAGTGGATTTGGGAATGTATTGGATGTATTGTAATATAAGGAAGTGCAGATATAACTTCGCCATGTTTTAATTCATTTTTAATCATTTTTAAGCTAAGCTAAATTTTTGTTAGTGGTTTCAAAGCCTATTCTAGATAACGGGCTTACTTAATCAAGTACATTTCGGCCGATTCGGTCGAGGCGACTGTTCATGAATTATACCTGAAATTAATGGCCCGTATTATCTCTCTTCCTCCTTTACAGTCCACGCGATTCCACTTGCGTCAAAATGGTTGAATATGTTTTGGGTGGTTCGCCCACAAATAAGGAGAGTCCCTTATCCGGTTTGGAGCCGCGTATGCGCAACTTAAAGTTTGACGATAACGATAAGGTGAGTGCAATTGGAACTCTCAGAAATATATCAACTTATTGATGATTAACGATGTGCGATTTTTTGTTTGTTGCAGTCACACGATGATAAGGAAAAGGCCAATTCTCCGTTTGATACAAATGGTTTAAAGAAGGACGATCAGGTTACAAACACCAATGGTGTTATTGTCAATGGCATCGATGACGACAAAGGATTCAAGTGAGTACAAAGAAATAAAGAAATGCATTAACTAAAGGCTCTAGTTTAGTCGGACTGTCTGTCAAGACTGTCACAAGTATAAGTTTCTTTTCCATGCCACTTAACCAAATGCCATTTTGTACGTACCGAGTACGTGAATGTATTATATATATATATATATATATATATATATATATATATATATATATATATATATAGCATATATAATATAAGATATATACTATATCATATATAGGATATATATATACTATAGAGATATATATCTATCTATCATATATATAATATATCATATATTATATATATACCTATATATCTATATAGATCTATATATATCTCTCTCTCTATCTCTCTCTTCTCTATCTCTCTCTCTCTCGTCTCTCTCTCTCTCTTCTCTATCTATATATATATATATCTATATGTGTGTGCGCTGCACTTATAGTCTAGTTGAAGTCTGCCGCAAGTGTCACGATGTCTGACTGTCTGTTTGTCTGTCTGTCTGTCTGTCTGTTGGTTGCCTGAACTGTGACTGTGGTGGAGTCTGTGGTCGTGTCTGCGGCGGCTGCCCGGCCTGTTTGGTTTGCCCGTTTTGCAATGGCATTGACATTAGAACGGCCTAAACTGGTTTACTTCAAGGTTCTCGTCTCTCGCACTCGCATTCTCCCTCTCTCTCTCCCCGTCTACCTCCCTCCATCTTTGTCTCTAGCCAGCCCTGCCTGCCTCTTAAACAAGATGTATGGTGTTCCAGCTCGCCGCTGAGTTATGTCAGCTATGTTTTAACTCCGCGCTGCTTTTATGCCTTCAGCTCGGTTCGGTTCGGCCGTGTCTGTAGCTGTAACTGGCAACTTGACTTAGTTTGCTTGTTACTTCAAGTAGCTCGTTGAAGCTCTGAAGAGGCGTTAATTCGGGCGGCAACTTTCCCATGTCTAATAGCAAGTGGGGCTTACAGATATATATAATATTGGGTTAGGTTGCGGTTGTGCTTAGTTAATGGGTTTTGAAAAAGTAAATTACATAACATACTATAGATATGTAATCTATCTAAACTAATATTATAATGAGAAAAGATTTGATTGTTTGTTTGTTTATTTGAATTGAAAAGGCTCCGAATCTACTGTACCGGGATAATGGATTCTTTCATTGTTGGGAAACTACACTATCGACGGTTAACATGGGCCATATTATATTTGAAAAAAAAAAAAAAAAAAAAAAAAAAAATGGAATCCTTACTAAAACGCCAATAATGTAATCAAAGGTGTACAAAAATTAACTTAAAAAAGTCTTGCAGTTAGTTCATAATAATCCTCGAAACATTGTCACTTTAAATATTAAGGCAATATTATTCAAAAGCCCCCAGCCAAATAATCGATCGACACCGTGATTAATATTGAAGACATTTAATTTCACTAAACCCTTCTAGACTGCCGCCACATGAATTGACGGTAAAATTCGGAAGTGTAATCATGCTTTTGAGAAATTAAAGCCTTCCAAGCATGCCATGGGACGAGGCTGCTTATTAAGGAATTATTAATGTAGCAACTATTATCAACGGCCCAGCAACTGGTCAACTAGCTCATATAACGAGGATATCAATGTTCCCATTTGATCATTTATATGGCTTCAATTACCGGTAGTTCCAAGGCCAAGCCTTCGAATTGGCATTAGGGATCGATATTTTGCTACCACAAAATAAAACATCAAATATCTTTTACAGAGAACCTCTGACATAATAAAGAATAATAATAAAAAAAAAATCATTAAAATAATAATATCCAAAATAAAATTCACTCCTTAAGAACTCATAGCAAAAAGAAGGGTGTATGTGTGTTAAGTGTGTGTATAAATAAATGTATAAATGTATAATTTGTAAAATTTTTGTAAAAATACCCGTGCGAAGCAGGGGCAGGACGCTAGTATATTTTAGGCTGTAGAGTGCTTTAGTTTTGTAATAAACTTATCAACTTGAGAAATGTTAATGAAGCTGTTAGCACTGCACTTATAATTTCTCATTCATAATTCAAAAGTATTTAATTGCTTAATTGTTTGGTTCATTCTGCTACCCATTTTCTTAGCAACTGTCTATCAGCGTTATTTTTATTGGCCATAAATTTCAATTGTCATTACAATATTATCGATATACGGGTATAACTCGTGGAAAGCTGCCGTTGTTTGCCCACATTCGACTAATTGTCATTTTTCGAGGTCTGCTCCCCGCCCACCTACTCTTCTACCCACCTACCGCCAACCAGACTTATAGTCAGACCTCTCAGATAGCTACTGTTGCGAGTTTTGATGCGGCCCACTTGGGGCAATGACAGTTGATATTATGTGACGCCAATTGGAGCATTATGCATTAGCATTTCAGAGTCACTCAGAGCTGAGTGTTGGACGTGTGTATAAAACGAGTGTTGTCTGAGTAGTTGAGTGTGAGACCAGAGCTCGAATATCGACAGCTCGGTTGAGAGTGGAAACTGTGTTGGCTTTTCCATTTTGTCTTCTCAAGTGGTTAGGGTATTGAAAATGTGTCCTCTTGTTCCATTAGCAGGTTGTCAGAGCTGTCAATGAAATGACATTTTCCTATCAAAACTAAACTTCGTCTTGCAATCGTTAATTGACTGACAATTAGTAAGTTTTGACTTAATCTTCCTTCCTTCCTTGCATAATAAGTTAATGGGAGTTGAAGGACAACTCTGGAGACATTAGCACTTTCTTCTCATACTTCTTTGTTGGTATTTTCTTTTAGTTAAAGATACATCCGAAATGTGATTGTTTAACAACAGAACACTTAATCTTCCTTCCTTGCATAATAACTTAATGGGAGTTGAAGGACAACTCTGGAGACATTAGCACTTTCTTCTCATACTTCTTTGTTGGCATTTTCTTTTAGTTAAAGATACATCCGAAATGCGATTGTTTAACAACAGAACACCATTGTGATTTGTTAACACGCATATGTTTTGTTTAGCAAAAACTGTGTTGGCGTTCTCAATTCTGATTCAAACTTTCGCCTGTATCGCATAATCTTTTTTGTTTGTCTTTTAAGAAACATATTTTAAAATGAAATATCCGGACATTTCTAGATCCATTTAAACAAATTTGTGAACGTATATGTAGAAAATGAATAGCAGAACGAGTCTGATTAGTTGCAAAAGATTTATATTGCTTGCTGTCTCTACTGCTAAAAGGATGGAACAAATCAATTCAGGAATTCATTCAAGAGAAAGCACACGTTGACTTTTTCCATCTCTTTTAGGATTTCTAAACATCTGTTTATCATTTTATTTATAACATTTTGCCACTCTGTTTTAATTAAGCAAGGAAGCAACAAATATACAAAAAAGTGTATTATTATCGTTTAATTTTTTTTATTATTATTTGTTTGCTTATTATTTTTTTTTTATTATTATTATTATTTAATTTTTTTTTATTATTTTTGTACTATTTTTTTTATTATTTTTGTACTATTTTTTAAAATTATTTTTGTACTATTTTTTTTTAAATTTTTTTTATTTTTTTATTATTTTCTTTATTATTTATTATTATTATTATTATTATTATTATTATTATTATTATTATTTTCTTTATTATTTATTATTATTATTATTTTTTTTTTATTTTTTATGTAAAAAAAGAAGATATAAAAGAGAAAATTAAAATTGAAGTCAAATACCATAACTATACATCAGATGTAGATTTGCAAACATTCCTAAGTAGATAATTGTTATTGATATTTTATGAAGAGTTCGGATTCGATGGAATTCCATTTACACAGGAGTAGTATTGGGTAGGAGATTTTAGGGTTAAAATCCAAAAACAGTAATTGTTTGATTTTTTATAGCGTTTTTGAAAGATCCATTTACCCTAATCACAAGAGGTAAATCTTACTTAATAGAGGATGGAATTCCATTTACTGGATAACGAGTATAAGCGTAGGTAACAATTGATACACACGATTTGTATTGGGTAGGGGATTTTAGGGTTAAAATCCAAACACAGTAATTGTTTGATTGTTGATAGCGTTTTTGAAAGATCCATTTACCTTAATCAAGAGAGGGAAATTCTGCTTAAGAGAGGTATAGTTTATTAATTCAATCACTCAACACAGCCCGGTTATCAGATGTTCCCAGTTGAAAGCTTTTATATTATTTGTAGGGTATTAAAATGTCGTTGCATTCCATATATATGCCGATTAGCCTAAAAAAACCAGTCGCTGCCGTTTTGGCTGAAAAAGTTGGCAACGTCTTTGCCGGTTTCTCTTTGACGAGTTTTATTGTTCGTGGTGCGGTTGTTGTTGTTGTTGCTGCTGCTGCAATTTCATTGCCGGTCGGCCCAAACATGTTTCAATGCCAAACGTAATAACTGTTATGATGTAAGTACCCACAGCAACAACAACAACAACAAGCTACGCCACAATTTACGATACGTTTTCGATTAGTTTCGTGTTTTTTTCCATTATTATTTTTATTTTTTGTGTGCGTGCGGCGCCATTGTTGTTGTTGTTGTTGTTAAACAGATCGGCTTACAAGTTTCATTTTTTTAAAGCATTTTTTTTCGTTTGTAATTTTTTGTTGCTGTTTTTCCATTGCTTTTGGCTCACGTTTTGCGCGCTAATGAAATTCATTGCGAAAAACGAAATTGTGGCAATAACTGCCAACCAAAAATATATCTATAGGCATACTACAAGTATATATGTGTGTATGTATGTAAAGAAGAAGTTGGTCAGGTGTTTGTCTTCACAGCTGCTTTTCCAGCGGCATTTGCAACACTTTTGTGTGTCTGTGTGTTTGTTACTTGACGATGATGACGATGACTTGCGGCAAATTGTCTGTTTGACCTTTGTGTGTTATTTAATGGCTGTCTTAATATTTCTTTCTTTTGGAGCACTTTCTTCTTTGGCTTGATGAGATTAGTTTTTGTTTTTACTTTCGAGGGCACAATGAAGAAAGTGAAAATGAGGTCATTAGGGGTATTCATCTTAACCTTTTTGAATAAAGTACGAGCAATTTTCTAAACAGCGCTTGTGAAAATGCGAAGATGTCGAAATTAGGGCTTCTTTTGGCTTAAATGAATGGGAAGCCGCATTGGAAATTAAAAAACTTCAATTAATTTGGCAAGATTTTGCATCTGTGAGAATAATCGAGCTGTCTCCAAAAATGCAGTATATAATAATGGAAAATACAGTTTTTTTTTTGTTAGCTTAATATTGATTATTTATTTTTATTGTAATTTGTTTCTCTTTTCTGTCTCTTTTATTCCTACATTTTTAAGTTTTCTCATTTCTTAATATTTCTTCATCTTCAATTATTAATTTTCCCCAATTATTTATCGATAACAATTCTTTTTATTAGATTCTTAGATTCAGATATAGGATCAGATTTTTAGTTAAAAAATCATTAATATTAATATTTGAAAAAATATATTTAAATTTTCCCTTTTTTATTTATTATATATTTTATTTATCATTTCCTTTATTATTTATTGTTTTTTTTTTCATTAAACTAATTAAATGTTTTAACTTTTTTGCTCCTTTTTAGTTTATACTCTTACTTTTAAATGTATTTTTAAAAATGTACATTCTTTATTTGAATAATATTTATATTCTTTTTTTCAATTTATCTTTTTTCATTTTTATCTTTAATTCCAAGCAAACAGAAACGCATTTAATTGAAAGTTGCATGTACTCGCTTATCTCAAAATAGTGATTGCAGCTTACGTGCCCATTAGTCATCAATTTTTTAGCTCGAGCGCTCTGAGAACTGACCTCAGACAAAGCACTCGCCCCTTTATATGCTCCACTGGCTCTCAAACATTTCCACTTTTATGCACTGACGACTAAACACAACAGAGAGAGAGAAAAGAGAAAGAGAGGGGGAGATTTAAATTAGTCACAGTTTTGCATGCGCTGCATTAAGCGCTGGTGTTAATGACCCGATAATGAAAAAGAGTATGTATGGTATATAGGAAACGCAATAATAAATGTTTACTAATACCATGACGCACAGTTGCAGAGTCATTGTCTTGACTGCAGTCGCTGATTTACATATTTATTACTCGCTTTGTTGTGACGCGTATAAATGAATGAATTGACAGTTAAATGCATTAACAAATGAGCCAAGCGTAACAGAAACATACATAGACATACAGACACATCTACATACATACAAGTATATCCTATAACTTACCTGTACCATATGAGCTGAACAGCTGCTTCGGATGGCGGTTTTGGCGACAGACAGTCACGCCGCCACAAATTTATTTATTTTTTTATGGTATTTTGTTTTTGATTTGCATTAATAGCGCCGGTCGTAAAACGTGCTTATTGTTGTTGTTTATTGACAAATGACTGGCGCTGTCGCTGGCTGACGTCATAGACATGATTCCAGCCGCACATTATCAGCAGGTTTGCTGCTTAAGTCTTTTGTTTGTTTGTATTGCCAGCTGCGTTGATTAAAAACACTATCTTTCAATGACTGCCCAACTATAATAATGTAAATTAAATTATGAACCTGTTTCTTGAAAGAGGGCCGGGCCTGCTCTGCTGGTAATAATTTAAATTATAATTTTTATTTTATTTTTGTTGTCAATAGCATGTGCCACCTTTTAGTACATTTTTAGTACAGTTTGAGAATTTATTTATGGTGTGTGGCACGGCTATGTGGTGAATGGGTGCGTGCATTTGCTAAGTGATATGCGCAGTGACTCAAAAACTGTACAGAAGCACAGTTGACAATACAGCTGTGAATTATAACAGTAGCAAAGGATATGTATGCAATGAACATAAAACTCTGTGGTGAACTTTAATGATAACAAAACTGTAAGGTATATAAATGTCTTCATAGAATTTGATCTTTCAAATAAAATCGCCCGATTTTTGGCAATGTTCACAAAATACATAAAGAAAGTTTAAAAATTTTAAAATAGGAACGATTAAAGAGCTTCTAAAACTGCACTTCATCGTACTAGCAATGGTCATAAAACTATGTGTAACTGAAATTCGTGAATTGCCAAACAGAGATTAATTTAAACATGAATTTATATATATTTTTAATTGTTATTGCTGCTGGCAGAGCTTTCAAAACTGTACAGTGCTTAAAATAGTCTATAGTTTTAAATTTCTTAAATTTATTTAATTTTTTTGCTTAACTTCTTTCAATTTCTTGTTTCAGTCGCACGCCCGGCTCCCGTCAACCCTCGCCCGCTGAAGAGACACTGCCACGCCCACCAACACTGCTCGATCCCTCACAGCATGGCAGCTTTCCACAAATGCCGCACTTCAATCAAATGCTCATGGACCACGCCCAGAGCATGGGCGGTGGTCTCGGCGGTGTTGGCGTCGGCGGAGGTGGCAACGGCAACTATCCGCATCAGCAAATGGCACAGATGAGTCAATTGCAGCCCCCCATGATGAATGGTGTTGGTGGCATGCCAATGGCAGCACAGGTAAGTGTTCAGTTGAACAGTTTCAAAGGAAGTTTGCCCGATTCTAAAAATATATAATTTTTTTTTTTTTTTTAATATATTACAGTCGCCCATGTTGAATCATCAGGCACAGGCAGGTGGACCTAATCATATGGAATCTCCGGGCAATCTATTGCAGCAACAGCAAGCAAATTTTGATGTACAGGTAAGTGCATTAAGGATTAATGAGATAAGCTCCCAAAAGCGTGCACACACACATACATATCTTTATATATACATATATAGAACGAGAATGCTCAATGACCTTGTTGTTGTTGACTGCATTATGGCTCCCCAGTGTGCGATTGTCGTTTCAGATGGTGTTGTTGTTGTTGTTGCTACTGTTGTGGTGGCTGGCTATATAGGCTAATTTAAAGTTGCAAAATGAGGTCATGTGGCGCAATAGCAGCTGCTAATTTACCGCAACATCCTGTATGTTGTTGCAGTTGTTGCCATCCCCAAAGCAGTTCAAACTGTCCCTTGGCTAACGAATGTGCAACACATCCCCTTCCATTTTAACCCACAGCTACCATCCGTTGAAGTACAGTATGTGCTTTTCATGGAATGCTGGGGCACCCCACGAAACCTTTTTCTTCAATTTAATATCTTTTACTTTTTAATAGAATATTAAAAAAGGGTTACAAACAGTTTATAAATTTTAGAAATGAAATATAATAAAAAATTTTCTATTTGAATGATAAAAACGAACGAATAAAAACAAGTAACATTTTCATTAAATAAAGAAAATAAAACAAGTAAAAAAATGAAACAAATCGGAGTAAAGAAAATGCAAAATACCAATAAAACCTATCGTAAAAAGTAAAACATGTAAAAAAACTGGAGGAAAAAATAGCTGCAGAAAAAATAGTAATGTTTTATAAAATTATAAGAATTAAACATGTTTTCTATAAAAAAAATAAAAAGCAAAAATAACTATAACAACAAATATAAGAGAATAAAAAAATTAAAATAATATATAATAAAGGAAAATACTTATTAAATGAAATATATGTCCAAGAACTAAATTAATTAATTAATGCATGCAAAAATATAATAATAATTTTTTTTAATAAAATCACTAATTATTGATATGAACAGAAATTAGAGAGGAAAAACTCGTACTTGCAAAAATAAATAAATACTATTAAAATAATGGTTTCGGGAATAGTTTTAGTCTTAGTTCAATATTGATAGTATCTAGGAAGAAATCTCTATCTAAGAAATATATATTCCGTCAAATTATTTGTGCAGACTAAAGACATATTATAATGGAATAATTTTAGTCTTAGTTCAACTACTGGTTCCAATATTGATATTATCTAGAAAGTTGGCAAAAAAATCTCTATCTATGAAATATCTAATCTTTCAAATTATTTGTGCAGCCTGAAGATATATTATAATGGAATAATTTTAATCTTAGTTCAACTACTGGTTCCAATATTGATATTATCTAGAAAGTTGGCAAGAAATCTCTATCTATGAAATATCTAATCTTTCAAATTATTTGTGCAGGCTGAAGATATAGTAATGGAAGCTTGCTAGGCACCAATTAATTTAGTGAGACTGTCTCGCTTGAAATCCTCTTAAAAGGATTTGATTTCATTTCGGAACCACTGTGCATTTTGTGTTAGTGCTTGGTCCCCAAAAAGCTCACAATTTATTTCGAAACGGAACGGAAATCGGATTTATTAGCCGCAAAATTGCCTTTTTGCAGTCGCCTGCAAATGCTTTTAGTCCACGCTAGTTTTGTCGTATTGCAGTGCATCTAAAACCTTTGGTGCTGCTTCTTCGTCTTCCTGTTGCTGGCGCTCTCGCTTTGCGCTGCATAATGTCATTTCCCGCATTGCCTTCTTTATCTCAACACTGGCTTCCATCAAATTGAAAATCAATATGCGCTGTTGCAGTAGCTTCCTTCCTTCCTTTGCTCCTTCGCTTCACACGCCCTTCGAATGCTCCGCCCTTCCCAGTCATTTGGCTAGCCCGCAAAGCAAATTGACATTTCCACACTTTAGTCGCTGGGCCAATCTTCACTTCCGCTGTTATCGTTGCCATGAACTTTTCCACACATACACACATATATACATCCTGCAGGCTTTTTTGCGCCTTTTGTCTTTTGTTGCTGCCATTGAGCGTCAACTTTATCGTTGGTCTGCGTATAATGCACTTTTTGCTACTTTTCAAAAGTAGCAACACAAAAATTGCATCAAAGGCAGCAAAAAGCCAGCAATGGAAGGAGCAGCCAGCTTGATGTCATTATGCCTTAAAGTCGGAACTGCTTCGGGGAACGTTTGATACAATTTGAGTTGTGGGTATTGCTTAAAATGTATATGCATATTGGAAAGTCTTTTAAAAGGAGCCCTGCTACAAAAGCATGTGCTCCACTGTACTGCTTTTTTTTGTTTCGCTAACAATTGTATAGAACTTAAATTTCAAATACTCGCCAATATGTTGCTCGAATTTTTTTTAAAATATTTCTTCTACATTTTTTGTATGTGCTCGCCCATCTTCGCACAAGCTGCATTATTTTTCTTCATTTTGAAGCAGCAAATATTTTTGGACACATTGAAATTTATATTGATGGTGCTTGCCATCATCCTAGTCGCTTGTGTCCAGACAACAGTTTGCATTTATGTCAAAGACGTTTTTCCGTATCCTTTCAGTTCTGCTTGTGGTACACATACCTACATCTATATACATACTTGTACACATATACAAATAATGATATAGCATTTGAGTGGCTGCTTTTCTTGTTTTCAATGCAACTTCAAATGCAACATATGTGGGTCTTTCACAAATAATTCCACTGGCTTAGGTATAGAGAAACACAAACAGACATGTGTAGTTTTGTAAAAAGGAAGTATTTTATTGCTGTGGTGGAGGTGGGACGCAAACGCTATGACAATGCAATGGTTCAATACAAGGAATAACTTTTTATTAAGATAACGACTTATAGAATTTCTCGAATTTTACTTTAAGAAATATCGGACAACAAACAGCACAAAATGTTGCTTACTTTAAGGGCTTTTAAAAAGTAACTCGGAATTTTTCTACACTTTCAATGTGAATTACTTTGAAAAGCATTGCTTGCAGGTAAATTTGAAACAGTTTTTTGAAAAATCAGTCGAAAGAATTGTGGGATATCTAATATCAATGATCTACAAACCATTTTTCATACATTTTAAAACAATTTTTCAAAAATTCTGTCGGTAGAATTATGGGATATCTAATATAAATGATCTACAAAACAATTTGTCATAAATATTGTCCCAAAGATGTACGTTCTGTCTTATAAGAATGTGATATTATTGCTATTTTTATAGTTAATTTCCCTGAAGTGTTCGCTAAGATTAAGAGAGTTCCTTTTAGTCGCTTCAGTCCAGTCAAATCTGAAGGATATTCCATGGACTTTGAGTATTTTTAACTCTTTAACAATACAAAAATATGATGGGCATATTTGCTTACCTTTAAATCATTGCTTCTGCTTCCCCCCACTGCTTCCTTATCACATCATTCACTTGACAAAGCGTCGTTCACTATTCATAAGAATATTTTATGCTCTTCTTGCATAACCGAACTGCCTCGAAGAGACCTATTGTGTATGCTTTTGCAATATTTCGTCGTATCGCTCGTCGTCTGCCTCTTCAATGCTTCCCGTCGCTTCTCCTTCATATCGTGACAGTCAGGCGAACAATTTCCTGCAATTCGTCAACTGTTGGGGTGTTAATATTGACGCCTCAACATACTATACACATATATATAATTTTAATAATAAAAATGCACGAAATATGCACACGAAAGCAATCGGCGTCGCCGACACATTGCACATTAAAAGCGGGCATGAAAGGCGTTATCCATTATCGACGTAGTATATGTATTGTGTGGTTGCCTTTCATTGCCGATTTGCATGTCGTCGTCTTAAGAACCAATTTCTGTTTTTAATGCGGTCTGAAGTGAAGTGCGAGGCCTATTACTTTTTCAATAATGTTCCTAACACGATACTTAAGGAAAACGAAAATGTTAGACTTAGATACAATAGAAATGAAATTGATTGAGGCTGTAGAACTTAGACGCATGTATTTTGCAATTGAAGTTCGTTTTTTAAGTTATAGAAAGAGAGTGCGAGCGTTGCTTGAACCTCAAAACTAAGTTTATTATCAATGCAATAAATACAATAGTAAGTTTGTTTTAGGTGTTATGTTGCTGGAATATATGGAATAGAGTACACTGCCCTCGCCTAACACGGGGGTTACGTTCCTGGAAAACATCGCGTTAAGCGACATGGACTCCATACAAAATATGGTGTTACGTTCCTAGATTTCGATAAATGCACGAACATTTTTTTTCTTATTTAAATTTCTGGTGCTTTTAAGGTCCGAACAATTCCAAGTGTTGAATATTAAATATAAATATTAAGTTTAAATATTAAATATAAATATTAAATATAAAATATAAAATATAAAATATAAAATATAAAATATAAAATATAAAATATAAAATATAAAATATAAAATATAAAATATAAAATATAAAATATAAAATATAAAATATAAATATAAAATATAAATATAAATATTAAATATAAATATTAAATATAAATATTAAATATAAATATTAAATATAAATACTTTTTTTGCTTGTGCTGGCAAAAGAAAGGTGTTTTCAATTATTTATTGGCTTTTTACTAAGGTAAAAGTATTTTTTCCAACTCTCTTGTCAACTGGAATGGGTCTTTCCAAGCTATAGTGTAAGAATGAGGTTTTCAGCGAAAAGGTTGCAAATTGTTAAGCGTGTTAGACCGAGTTCGTATTAAGAGAGGTCGTGTTAAGCGAGGGCCAGGTGTATTCCCGACTTTCTTATGACTCCCTTTGCATAGTTTAAAATATAACTATCTTTATTACCTTATTTGCAACCTTTTCCACATTCATGCCATTAATTCTTTAAGCATTTTGCTCACGTTCGTACATAATTTGACGTTGACTTAGAAGGAGGGGGGGAGAAAAAATGCAATTGAAATTCGTTTTTACGCCCACTTAGTAAGCAATTATTCTTGTCACTTTGAACAAACATAAAATATTACGGAATAGCACCTCGGGACTCGATTGCTCATGCCAGAAACTTGTGCGTCGCCCTGGAAAAGTTTTTTGAAGCGCAAAAGCGAAAAGTAACGCAGACTTTTTGACAGCTGCTTAAAGTTTTCTAATAATATAATTATGTGTAAAACGAATGAGCGGCAAAGTCGGAAGAGTTGTTGTAGTTGCGTAGTCGCTGTTGTTGTTGTTGTTGTTACGATGCCTATTGAACGCATAACCCAATTGCATAAAATGGGTTGGTTAGATAAACAGACAGACAGACAGACTTGACTTGACTGTTCGCTTAATGAAGACTTTGCCCATTTGAATTTTTTCTTGCTGTTGTTTTTACTTTCCTGCACGCTTCACTGACGACTCTTTACTGCTGCTGCTGCAATGCTTCTGTGTTAATCAGTCAATAGGGCTTTAAGCCAAAACTCTTACTCTCTCTCTGCCCATTTTTCTCATCCTCTAGAGTCGTTGTTTTGGTGTGAAGCGAACGAAAGAGCTGTTAGATCTCTGACAGGCGAGGCTTTGATTATGCATGAGCAGGGCTAATTGATTTTGAGCTCTGCAGATTAAGTTGCTACGTGTCGAGTCGAGTGCTGACTGTTAAGTGTTAAGCTGACAGTAAAATCGGCCAATCTGACTGACTTAACTGCCAGCAAGTCGTAGCCAGGCATTGACAGAGCGAAAGAAATTGTGTTGCTTTGATGTTGAGTTTAAACTGAGGAAGCTTTCAGCAGAGATTAAGTTTCATACTTTTGTTAAAATACAATTTAACACTTGTCAAATAATAATTTGACTTTCGCTTAAACATGAGTCAAACATTTTATAGTAGCATACTATAAATTATTTATTAAATTGCAACAATATATTGAAATTCATTTTAATTCAACTCAACAGAGTTAATAAATAACTCTCAGGTTCGAACCTGCTATGCTAGTACTGTCATAGCTCAATTTTTTTGTAATTTTTTATATATATTTTTATATTTATTTATTTTTTATATTTATTTACTTTTTATATTTTTATACCCTGTACCCAAAGGGTGAAAGGGTATACTAGTTTTGATATTTTTTATATATTAAAATATTTAATTTTATTTGTATATTTTATTTTTTAATCATTTTTATCAATGTTGAAAATATTATTTTTTAATAGTTTAGTTTTTAGTTTTTAAATGTTACTTTATTCGTTTTATTTAGTTTAATTTTTTATCTTACCCATATATTGTTTTTATTAAGAGCCCTTACCAATTGCTTAGACTTGCAGTGAATATTCTAGCTATATAGCTGTTATTTGCGTCCGCAGGATTAAACAAATTTTCAGAAATTATATCAACATATTGAAAAATCATATAAACACAAATATTTATAAATTTATGAATGCAAATCTTTTTTGTTGCGACAAATATGTAAAATAGCAAGGCAAGCACTTATGTTGCATGCAAATTTTTGAGCGCCATAGTAT